CGGCGACGGCTCCCCGCCCTCTTCTTCCTCCTCGTCGTGCTGCTCCCCCCACGCGGGGGCCGGGCCCGGGGCGCTGGGGCCCGCTCTGGGGCCTCCCGACTACGACGAGGACGACGACGACGACAGCGACGATCCGGGATCCCGGAGCCGCTACCTGGGGGGCGCGCTGGAGCTGCGCGCGCTGGAGCTGTGCGCGGACCCTGCCGAGGCCGGGCTCCTGGAGGAGCGTTTCGCTGAGCTGAGCCCATTTGCCGGTCGCGCCGCCGCCGTGCTTCTGGGCTGTGCACCCGCCGCCGCCGCCACCGCCGAACCGGCGCCGCGAGAGGAGCGGGCCCCGGCGTGGGCGGCCGAGCCCAGGCTGCACGCCGCCTCAGGGGCGGCCGCCGCCCGGCTACTCAAGCCCGAGCTGCAGGTGTGCGTGTTTTGCCGGAACAACAAGGAGGCGGTGGCGCTCTACACCACCCACATCCTTAAGGGACCCGACGGGCGGGTGCTGTGCCCCGTGCTGCGCAGGTACACGTGCCCCCTGTGCGGTGCCAGCGGCGACAACGCGCACACCATCAAGTACTGCCCGCTTTCCAAAGTGCCGCCGCCGCCGCGCAGCGCCCGGGACGGCCTGCCCGGCAAGAAGCTGCGTTAAGGGCCCGGACCCCGGTCTGCTGCTGCCACCTGATGCCACCAGGGTAGCCGCCCGCCCACTCTCGTGTTTGGTCTGCGCACCATCTCTCCCCTCGCTGCCGGGGAGCATGGAGCTCGTCTTGGTTTTTCCAGAGGAAGCCGACGGTACTATTTTCCTGTCGAAGAGCGGTTGAGACTATACGTTAAAATCTTGATTATGTTTCTAGTTTGTGCACATCCAGACGGTGAAGGCTGGGTATTCCACTAACTGAAATGTGGCAACTTAGAGGCGCTGTGGTTTATTTATACGTCGACCTATTTTAGATGCGCATCAGTATGAAATTGTCTCAATCTAATCTTGGATGTTTAATTTTATGAATGGAGGCACTTTACTAGGTCTAGAATATTTTTTTAAAAGCCTCTCAACTGAACTTAAAACAGGCGATTTTATGGAGTGTCAGCAAAATGACTATTTTATTGTTTGGAACAAGTAATATTTCTGTTGTCCTTGCCCAGTTATAATTCCAGGTGAAGCCCTGCCTGGTAGCATCATTAAGTGAAGAGTTGGTATACTTTACAGTGTTAGTTTGGGTGGGTGTTCCCTCCATTGTGGCTTGTTTTTGTCCTAGCTGGAGATGTATAAAATGTACAATTTGTAGGTAGGTAGAATACAGCTCATGTACCAGATCTTTTTATTACTGAGTGAGCAACTACCGTTTTCCCCCTTTAAAAATAGTGCCAAGTTATAATCATATTGTGTATACACTTAAATGGTGCTGTTTAAAAAAATTGTGTATTTATACAGTAACAGTATATGAATTCATTAACCTTGCCTTTAACTCTACTACTTGGCTTTTTCTTTATGCCCCTTCCTATTCAGTTCTTCAAAAATATGTCATACTTAAGATCAAAAGGGTGCAGTATTAACTCACTCTGAATTGCTGATTTCAGGGTCTGTAAATAGTGGCAATCTCATTCCAGCTGTTGCCTCTCAGACTAAATGTAAGATGGAATCCTTTGAGCTCCGGAAGGTTAATGGAACAACTGGTGTTAGGAAGGTTCCACTCTGGACTATGTCAGATTTAAACCATCATAGAAGTTCTCAAACCAGTATAAGCACCAATTAAAGGAACTGACTGGGGGTAAGGGGGGTAAGACAAGAAACACAGCCTCCCTCTATTGTGTTCCCATTCTCATTGGAAAATGACAACCCTCCTGGAATCCCACCAGTTATTTTCATCAGTGAGATTAAATCTAATCCTTGGGCAAAGGTGCTTGACTTCTACTTTAACCTCCCATCTTCATTTTCAAGTCCACCATAGTGAATACCACACCGTATCTACCATCAGAACAGACACACAAGGTAAAAATGGAAATGAATTAACATTAAGTCATCTAACTGTACAAAATCACTATCTGAAAAATAACAGGAAGACTTAGTCTTTAGAGGTCCCAGGAGAGCTTAGCTAGGTTATTAAAAATTAGACTGCCTTCATATTAAACAACTCCCTCCACAGCAAATTTGCTTGATTTGAACACTTCTTTGAAAATCTAAGAAGCTGCCATAATAACTGAGATAGCTATGAGCTTTTTTGGTCAAAGGGTGGGAGAAGAGGGGGGCACACAGGCAAATCATTCATTTCTTGGTCAAGAAAAAAATCCTGTTAGTCTAGCTCCAAATTAGATAACTTCAGACATGAATATACGTAAACTCAAAAGCATGCATTAACTTCTCTTCAGTTTTGCTAGAAAACATACCAATTTAAAATAGTTTTCTAGCTTTCTGGGTTTTCAGGTCACATGAATTCCTGTCACCTCTTGCCACTGCTTTAGTTCTACCTTTTCAGGAGTCACTATTAACAGATGGGTGCATTCTCCAGGCGGAAAGGACTAGGCAGGTGACTTACTGTATCAGCAGCACCGCACCCCCCCACCCCCTGCCATTCGCCCGTTTTCCAGCTAACTTTAGCTTCTAGTATTTTAAAGCATAATGGAAAATGTCAGTGGTTTTCTAGAAATCTCTTATGAAAAGTTTACTGAACAGGGTCTAACACATTTAAAAGCAACTCTCAATCTGAAACATGTTTTAAGTACTTGAAAAGCTAAATTTAAGGTAAAAGGAAACCCAATTTTAATACTGACAAAATTACTTATTTTCATAAGACTGCATATTTTGGGGAAAAGATGTATGGAATCCTCAAAAGAGCTTTACCAGCCACAGACTGCCTTATATTTTAAAATCATACCACAAATGCACATGTACTTCAAAGAAAAAGGTGTTAGTCCTAATTTTCTAATCTATTCTTAGCTACAACATGAACATTCCTTCCATTAATTTCCAGTATATTTTAAGACTTACAAAATTTTAAATCGGTGTACAGCCGAATCATGTCACACATATAGATGCCAACCTCCCCCTAGTAGCCACTTTGGACAACTACTGGGATGTCGAACTGTTTCTCGGCCGCTGTTTCCACCCTCAGATCCACCCATACTGATATTAATGATATCCGGTCTAAAAATGCAGAAGCCACTGGGTACGTGGAAGACACCTGTAAATCAACACTGAGGGAGGGGTAAGACTGTGAGGCCCTGAGCAGGATCACAAGCAGCTGCACTCCTCTGCCCTTACCCTGTGCTCTGAACTTGGGAGAACAGTACATCTGGGAAAGGGTCTGGGTTGGAAGGGTGATTTGCAGACTAGCCTGGAAACCTAACCATCAGACCACCATCTAAACAAATCAGCTCAAATCAATGTCTGTTGGGGCCTGTATGTGACTGCCAGGTATGTCTAGCTCTAGTACTTGGGACAGAGCAGGTTACTGTCCCAAGTTTTCACTTGTTACAAAAGGCCCTCTTCTCACAAGACTTTCACTTGTTTGAAATATAAACTAAGAAAAATGTTTTTTAAAGTGATTTCTATCATTAACATCGAAAAGGAAAGGCTATATTTGGTAAAGTTTTTTTTTAAAAAAAAAGCACCAATACCCCCTCTTCTGGCTTCATGACTGCACCAAGAGTAATTCTCACCACTACTCAACACCAGAAAGAATCTAAGTGCCTAGAGCCACTATAAATTTGCAATTAACATTCTGTAAAATCAATTATGCTTTTAATTTCAGGGGAGAACTCAAGATGTACATCACACACACGCTCACCCCACACAGAGAGGACAACCTGACAGGGAAACTTAAGACGTTCATCCAGTAGCAGAGGAGGACACTTCAGTGGGACCATCCTCAGCACATTTGCTCTTTGTTATATTTAGGTTATTTTCTTTGATACTCAACAGTGAGAAAGTTAATACCACTGGTAAAACCTCAATTGAAATAAACTCACTGAATATGCAAGCTAAACATTATAAACACTAACCACAAATCAACACTGAAACAAATTCTGTAAGTGTTTTATTTATCATTGAAGAAAAAACACAGCAGCAAGTTCTGTGTTGGCTTCAATAAGACCAAATAGTTAATCTTTAACATAGCTACTACACTCCAAAATTGAAGTCAACACAGTCATTACTACAAATTACTTATTGAAAGAATCTATTCTGAAGAGAAAGGAAATTAGGAAAAAGAATTTAAACAATTCCTCCAAACCACACATTTATAAATATTGTCATATTTAAAATGCTTGAAAGGCATGAATTCTCCATAAATGGAAAAGCAGTTTGCTATTGGCAACAGAAAAAACTCAGCCACAGTTTACCAAATGCTTTAAAATTTAAAAGCTATATCTGTTTTGGATTCACACTCCAGCAGTATTCTCGTCATTATAATAATGACCGCAAGTTGGTTTATACTCACCTTCTTTCAAGTAAAATCTACCAAAAACTCCACTGTATCCAATATGTGTAATGTTTACTGCACTTAAGAGTAAACCTAAAAACCTTCTGAATTTAGTAAATAGTAAATACCTCAAAATACCTAGAGGTATGTCTCAATGGTGTGAGAACTGTTTCAGCTCCCTGTTTTAGAGACTTCAAATACATTCTCTCTAACAGAACCTTACTTCATTCCAAATACCAGGTATTTCAAAATCAAAAGAAAAAAGATCAGTTCTATACCAAGATATAGGTGTTACTCAATACCTGAAGAATCCTCATTTTAAATTTATTTTTAGTTTTTCTTTTTTTGTAAACAAATGATTGATGAAATAATGCAACACCTTAAATTCAAAAACATGGTGTGGTTTTCCAACCGTCTGTGGATGCGGTGCCTGATCAATCTATTATATAGGATTAATACAAGTTCATGCTTTTTGTGTTATGGTGAGACATTAAAGAATCCAATTTAGATTGGTTGAAGCACAAGTATAATAATCCTTGAATGTGATCAAACCTATGCAGAGACATGAGTTTGAATCCATTATCTTGAGTCTTAGCGTCGTACTGTGGTCCATCCATCTTCATCAGTCTCATTTTTAGTACGACGAAGAGATTCCCTATCTTTCTCAGCTCTCCAGGAGGTCTTCTCTTTCTCACCTTCCCTATCTCGGTCTCGATCTCTCGAAAGAGCTGCAGGAGGAACACGACGAGGGGTATCCCTCTCTTCTGCCCGGTCATCTTTCCTGTCATCAGCACGTCTCCAAGAACTTACTTTAATTAAAAGAAAAGGAGAGAGAATAAATTCGTACTGTATTCTATCAGCTCAGATTAAATAGAACTGAAGCAAAAGGAATGCCTCAAATTACTCAGAAATCCACTACTAAAGATGATAAAGAATCTTCATTAAAAAAAAAACTAAATACATTTTAATAATTTTGATACAATTTCTGAAAAACCTTTAAAATAGACTTAAAATACCAACTTGCAAGCAAGACATCACTGGCCTGGGAAGTGTACTAATTTTTAAAAAATTTAGGATAAGGTGACAAAAATCTGGCTGGATAAAAATTTTTTACAGGATTTTTGGCTCCTGTTGAAGACTTAACAGCAAATAAGTGAAATATATTTCATTATACTATAAAAGAAGAAATACCCTCAATGTAAAACCAAATAGTCAAAGCTTTTGAGGCAAAAGTGCCATGGTCATTTAAAAAAAAAAATGAAAGTCAAAAGTGAAGTTGCTCAGTCGTGTCTGACTTTTTGCAACCCCATGGACTGTAGCCTACCAGGCTCCTCATTCCATGGAATTTTCCAGGCAACAGTACTGGAGTGGGTTGCCATTTCCTTCTCCAGTAAGTTTGTGAAAACCATGAACTTTAAAGGGAATAAATGATCTACTTGGCCATCTTATTTTTGGTATTCACACAAGTTAAACAGACAGTAAATCCCCTCATCAACTATGGCTCCCCGGTGTTCAGCAGTCACACAGAAAACACATCTCTACCTTCCTCGCGCTCTGATCTGAGAGGCGGTCCTCTTCGGTCCCTGTCGTCTCGTCTGTCCCTTAGATCACGACGATCATCTCTCTCACGACGCCGGTCATCGCGGTCCCTATCGTCACGACGACCTGCATCTCTCCAGCTTGAAGACTCCTCAGCTGGTCCTCTTCTCCAGCCACCTTCATCCCTGCAAGCCAATTCAAATGACACGTTAAGTTCTGCTGTTAGACAACAGGGGTAAATTTAAGGGGATATATATAATACCCAGGTTAGCAAATAACAGGAATAAACTTTAAACTCATGAGTTGACCTCCAACTGATGCTTCAGGCATGAAGTCAAATGAGAACATCTGGCTCTGCACTGTCCAACAGAATAGTCATTACCCATTCCAAACACTCAACAGTCAAACATGACAGCTGGTTACCATGTGGATATTACATCTACAGGACACTTTCATCCTTGCAGGAAACTGTACTGAACTGTGCTGATCTAGATTAGATTAGTACAAAGCCACTTTGACCAGATAAAGCAAGCCAGAACTCTTAAAACTAGTAAAAGCAAAGGGACTTTTTAATAATTTAAAAGCAACAAATGGACCTCAACCACAGGGGAAAACTAATGGACAGTGAAGAACCTGGACTGGTTCCACCACCATAGGAGCCACACAACCTACACACAGCACCAGCCTGCCTGTCCCCTCTTTGAAAGGAGGAATCTGGTTCAGTTAGATGACCTCTAAAATTTTTAAAATCCGATTCTACTAGATAAATGTATGAGAAGGGGGAGCATGTTTTTCAAAACGCTGGGAATGCATAGGACAACATTAAAGGAATTTTAACCATAAGGCCACAGACAGTCTTAACTAGAGTATCGAACCTTGGCCGTCTGAAGCGGTCCTCCCGATCACCATCTCGGTCTCGGTCTCTCTCTCTCTCTCGGTCTCTCTCTCTCTCTCTGTCTCTTTCTCTCTCCGGGTCCCTGTCGTTCTCATCTCTATCTTGATTATCTCGGTCTCTCTCTTTTTCCCTCTCCCATTCACGGTCTTCTGATGGTCTCGAGTCACGAGGTGGACCCCAACTCTCTTCTCTGGCTTTTTCTTTCTCTCTCCATCCACCTAGGTTTTTAAAAAACAAAATGAAAATTTCCACTCAAGAAACAGATTGGCAACCATGAATCTTGATGTTAATCCATCACCACTGTAATGGCTAATAAGACACACTAACCCAATTTAAAAAACTAAATGCATTTACCTCATTTCACAGAACCAACTCCTATTTCTGACTACCTATTACTGTTTTTCTAACGTATAACATATAGGAACTTTATATTCCACATGCAAAGATTTCAGAAATAAAAATCTGTAAACCTGTTCTGACAGTGAAGACAACTCATTTAAGCAGAGAGGTTCAAGGGTGAGGGGTAGGATCTAGATCTGAGAGATAGAGCCCCAATTATGAGTACACTTATATCTTTCAACATTTTCAAAACCTCTCTAACTATTTTAAAAGACTCTTTGCTTTCACAATCCTGCCCCCTACCACTTACCACCGTAAGGTCATGAAGTAAGGACAAAGCCTTTGGCCCTGCTCAATATCTCACTTAGCCATGGGATGTCCAAATCTAGGAAAAATGTGTGCACACAAATGCACAGGCACACACACAAAAGGAAATGAAGCAGATTATTTTGATGAAAATCTCTTATAGCTGCAAGGCCAACAATTATCATCACGAACATTTATATTCCGGTGTACTACAGCACTAGTCGAAACCATCTGTCTATTATTAGCTCTTTCAATCCTATCCACAGCTCTGAGATAAGTAGATTATTCCATACCTGCTTATTTGCTACCTGCTAAAAATCTGTAATTCCAAAATTAGCACTCCAGCACTCTCACAAGTCACTCTCAGGCACGTACCCAGTTGTGAAATATTTGAGCCGCCTGACAGGCCTGTTCTCAGCTGAGCTCAAACAAGGCAATGCTGTCTTCTGGCTGCAGCTCTCCCACTTTAAACAAGTAGCCTTTGAATGGCCTAGTTAGTGCCACATTTCCACTTTTTTGTGCTTTTTGTTAGTGACTTCAGTTTTTAAGTGCACTATCAACTCTACCCCCAGCATTCTCCCAAAGACAAAAAGGCAATGGACGTGACTTAGGGAGAAAATATGGGTGTTAGACAAGCTTCTTCCACGAATGAGTGACAGTGCTGTTGGCCAGGGAGTTCAATGCTAATGAATCAATAACATACATTAAATGAGGTAAAGTGACCAGAGGGTTCAGGAAAAATCAGGAACCTGAGTTAGTATTTCCCTTAGTAGCAATGGTTCAGTATTCACTGACTTTATAAAAATGTAATTATCATGAATTAATGAGAATCTACTATGCTATTATCCCCATGTTACATAAAGCACAGCAAAGTTAAGCTAACCCAAAAGTCACAAAGTTTCACAATGGAATGAAGTGAGAAGAAACACAAGTGTGCAACAGAAACCACTCATGGTAAGGGGCACCCAGGCGCTCAAACTGCTTTTAAAACAAATCACTGAAAAGACGTTGGTCATTGAAAAGATACAAGAAGGATGAAAGAGCAGAGTAAAGGAGAACGCCCATCTTATACAATTAGATGGACAGTGATGCCCTTGAAAAGGAACATATGTGTGTGTATGGTTTTTTTTTGGGGGGGGGGGGGAGTTGCAGGATTCTGTTTTCATAGGTTGAGTCTGAAGTGTCGGTGACCAGGTGCTACATAAAAGTTGGAAACACAGGTCTGAAGGTATGGGGGAAAGTCATCTGGGCAAGACAGTAATGAAGGCATAGACCTGTACACAATTACTTGAGAATAAAAAAAATTATGAAGGGGGGATATTTCCCTGGTAGTCCAGTGGCTATAAAAACTCCACGCTCCTAGTGAAGGAGGCCTGGGTTCAATCCTTGGTCAGGGAACTAGACCTCACATGCCACAACCTAAGATCCTGCGCTCTGCAACCAAGTCTCAGCACAGCTAAATAAATTTAAAAAAAAAAAAAAAAAAGTATGAAAGGATGAACCAATATTATCTATGGTGAAACAGATCACCAGCCCAGGTTGGATGCATGAGACAAGTGCTCAGGCCTGGTGCACTGGGAAGACCCAGAGGGATTGGGTAGAGAGGGAGGGGGGAGGGGGGATTGGGATGGGGAATACATGTAAATCCATGGCTGATTCATGTCAATGTATGACAAAAACCACTATATATTGTAAAGTAATTAGCCTCCAACTAATAAAAATGAAAAAAAAAAGAGTGCTGCAATGAAAAAAAAAAAGGATGAACCAGGCCCAAGACCGAGAAAGGAAATGGGCTCCTCTCATGAACATAATGTCATGGATGACAAGAGTACAGACAAATGATTAATAAGAATATTTTTATTTTTCATTACTTCTACAAGCAGTCCAGTCCAGGAAGGAACCCGAAGAACACCGATACTTTGGGAAAAACACAGAAAGAAGAACCTCAAAAAAGCCCTGAAATAGCAGGAACACTTCTTACTTAACAAACTGTAATTTGTCCTTTGAGACCTGAGTTTTTTCTTTGAAATTACGGGCTATTCTCTACTGAATAGTGGGGATTAGCTGGTGTAAAATTTTAGGTAGCATTTGTAAACACATATAAAGCATCCAATTTGGTTTTTTGAATACCACAATTTTACCTGGTTTGACAAATGGTCTCCAGGGGCCAGGTCGTGAATCATCACCCCTTCTGGGAATCCGATCGTCATCGGCCCGCCTTGAGAGCCGATCGTCATCCATGTTTCTCCAAGGCCCCCTGTCATCATCTGCACCGCGCCTGGAAAATCTGTCGTCATCTGCACCTCGCCTGGAAAATCTATCATCGTCAGTATTCCGCCAAGGTCCTCGATCATCATCCAATCCCCTCCTGGGACCCCGGTCATCATCCATGCCCCGCCTGGGACGATCGTCGTCAGCATTTCGCCAGGACGAACGCTCATCGTCCGCACCTCCTCGGCGTGGCCCCCGGTCCTCATCCAGCCCGCGCCTGGGTCCTCTGTCCTCATCGGCCGTGCGCCAGCTTCCTCTGTCCTCATCCAGTCCTCGTCTAGGTGGTCTGTCATCATCCGCATGACGCCAGCTACCCCTGTCTTCATCGCCAATTCGTCTGGGGGGCCTGTCATCATCTGCACCACGCCACGAAGGCCGGTCATCATCCGCCCCCCTGCGAGAGAATCGATCTTCATCAGGACCACGTCGTGGGCCTCTGTCATCATCCATGCCACGTCGGGGAATCCGATCATCGTCTGGTCTAAGAGAGGACTCTCTCTCTTCATCATCCCCCAGACGCCTTGGTCGGTCTTCATCTCTTCTGTGAGGTCTCTCTTCGTCCCGCCCTTCTCCACGTCTCCACTCCCTACAGGGTAACAAGCCAAATACCTTTAAGAGTATACTTTCTTAAGTACGTACGTGATCTCTTTGGGAATGATTTTACTCACTTCCAAAGTATAAATTCACTAATCTTGGTCCTACAAGAGTATGTTCCAATAAAAACAACCCCATAAAACCCAAAATTTTATGTCAACAAATAAACGAGTAAGTAGACAACTGCCTCTAAAAGGTATCTGCACCTTATGAGGAATGCCTGAGCAATTTTTAAATCCATCACTACAGCTTTCAAAACGACAAGAAAAATACTATGAAACCATTCACTATACTCTAACCACAATACCATTAGTTTAGGAAATTAAAAATAAAAGAAAAACCTAAAGCACATAATTTCCAAGATATCTATTCTATGTCAGTAATTACAGCAGCATTGAAGTAAACCATGCAAAACATCTCAGTAATAGATATGCATACAATTCTTCATGACTCCCTTTTTCCCCACCGCCACAAAATATGCCAAATTAGAAAAATACTAATAAGATACGAACAGGACCTATGATTAGTCTCTTCTCCGTAATTCTACTCACTTCTCTGGAGGGCCTCTTCTCCACTCAGAATCTGTTTCGGGTCCTTTTCTCCAAGTGCCTTCTGTATCTCTATCTCCCCAACGAGAGTCCTACATTGAGCAAAGTCAGAGTCACCACATTAGCAACACCACTGATAGAAACTGAACAGGAGCCTCAGAGCTAGTTGCTACAGCACAGAGAGATGAAAAGAATAAATGAAACATTAAAAGAGATCAAGAATAGGACTTTGAAAGGCCAGAAGAAGAGAAAAGGAGAAAAAATCTCCCTGAGTTAAGACAATTCAATATGCTCTAAGTAAACTGAATCCTGACTGATGGGGCACACATGCCAAAAAGGGTGAACAGCAAAGACCTAAGCTTAGGCAACTAAACAAAGACTTGGTGAAACATTAGAACTTCTTTTCTCAAAGCTTCCTATGAATAGAGCAGAATAGCTACTGAAGTAAAAAGACCAAGACTGTTGTCAAGCACCCTCCTCTCCCCACTGAGTACCAGGACAGTGAGCACAGACAGGCCTCTCAGCTTCTGGAGGAGGGTGATGCTGAACTGGCCAAACCAGTGAACAGCATGCAACTGGGACAGAAAAACAAACCTCTTCTGAGGCATACACAAAAATAAAATATAGAATATACAAAACAAAAAACTTATATGCAAAGGGGAAAAGATACAGTGTAAACATATTTTAAACTAAATCACATTGCCAATGCAGTTGTAAAACTGCTAAGCAATTTCTAAATAGAAAACATTGTTTAAATGCACTGGAGGCAATAAATTTAAGTAAAGCCTTTAAATAGATGTGGCTCAGATGGTAAAGAATCTGCCTGCAATTGAGAAGACTAGGGTTCGACCCCTGGGTTGGGAAGATGCCCTGGAGAAGGGAATGGCTCTTCACTCCAGTATTCGTGCCTGGAGAACTCCATGAACAGAGGAGGCTGGCCAGCTATATACAGTCCACGGGGCTGCAGAGTCAGACACAACTGCATGACCAGCACAGGTGCTACCGCAGGAGATGAAGAGGCCCTAACTAAGCCTTATCATCTTTGGGCTCCGCTGGTGGCTCCGTCAGTAAAGACTCCACCTGCAACTCAGGAGACCTGGGTTCAACCCCTGGGTTGGGAGGGCATGGAGGAGGGCATGGCAACCCTCCAGGATTCTTGCCTGGAGAATCCCCATGGACAGAGGAGCCTGGCGGGCTGCAATCTGTGGGGTCATGAAGAGTCAGATGCAACTAAGCACAGCAGTGGTTGTTTTGTTTGTTTTGTACATTTTATTTGTTCTGAAGAAAGGGAAGAGTTCTCAAAATCTACAGAGTGTAAGTTTAGACTCTGAAAAGAATGGATGGTAGAAGACCAGAGAAAAGCATAAAGGCCAAAACAAACGTCAGGAATAAAGCCACAAGCACTAGTTACCATAGTTAGCTGCCATGTTAAACATGAACAGAAAGAACTGAACACTCTCCAACTGAAAGGGAAGGGGGAGGTAACAAAACAGAAACAACAACAAAGGATTAACACACAACTGCAACAACTGATAAAAACCTTTGAAACCCATATCCATGGGTGGTCTACCTCATCTGCTTCAGATGAACTAAATTAACAGGATGTAGCAAATCAAACAGTTAACTCTTATTTTACACTCACACACACACACACACACTCTAACACAACACTCTGTGCCCAACAGGAAAAGAACACTCATAACAATTACCAACAAGACTAACAAAACTAAAAATCCATTCATATATTATAAAACAAATTGAAGGCTACATAACTAGGAGCAGATCCTCCAATAAAGGGAAGCATTTGATACAGGTGTGGCACAGATAAAGGCTCAGAGACATGGCAGGCAAGAAACCCTCCAGCTACTTATCCTTAAAAAATAGCAGTATTTCATTTAAAGGAGAGCATGGACACGTTGCAGGAAAAACAAAGAGCATGCAGGCAGATGTCACAGACAACAGAAGACAACACTAGCTCAGAATAGCTAGAGTATAAGTGCTAAGAAAACAATGACTGATGAAGCTAATAAAACAGCAGTAAGCATAAAAGGCCCTGACTGCTCAGCTGTGCTCAGTTGGGCTGTAAGCAATGAGCACGACCCAAAGGCAGGTCTGAGACGCAGAGCAGCGGCAACAATTGAGCACGCGTCGTGAAACACCAAGCAAGCCACAGTAAAGACAAGAGGTCTGAGGCTGGGGAAGGATCGCAACCACGGGTGAGGCCTGCAGGCAATACGGGCAAAAGAAACCAGCTTAAATAAGGCAGGAGCAGAGGGACAGAAAGGAGGGGTGGGTTTGAAGCAATGTGGTTTAAGCAGGTAACAAAGCTACTGCCAGGAGAAGGTATTGGACACCCTCTTTATACAAGATAAAGTCAGAAGCACTGGTCATTTTGGACATGAATGGAAATTAAAAATACTTAGACCAGCATTTGAAGCACCTGGTAATCTTGTTAAAATGCAGATTCTGATTCAAAAGATTTGGCTTTGAGCCTGAGACTGCATTTCTAACAAGGGATGCCGAATACTGGCTGGTCCCCCAAATTCAACTTTGAGGACCCTCACATCATAGCAACTCCTTTCAAGGAACCGAACAGCCCCTCTTCCATATGACTGTGTTACTTTTCATCAAATACTTAATTTCATGGGATTAGTTCTTACTGACAAGTACTCTAAAGCCTATAAAATCCCAGCTTGCTAAGACAAGTCTAATCCCCTCCCCATCCTCCTTAGGAACCCTCTTTGGAAAGATAAAGCAATACCAGACTTAAATCTGAACGATGTAATTCAAAACACCATGCCCAGACACTGACACACGCACGGACAGCTCTGTCATGCAGAGACCTGGCTGATACCCACACAGCACAGAACACTGACGGCCATACTTACCTTTCTCGAAAGTGAGTCATCACCAAGTCTCCTCTCCTCCTCTCTACGACGCTCCCTTTCTTCAATTTCCAACTCCCTCTGACGTTTTTTTCTTTCAACTTCTTCTAACTTCTTGACCCGCTCCTGATATTCCCGAAGCTCCTCCTCACGCTTCGCGCGCTCAGCCCGCTCCCGCTCTTCTCGCTCTGCACAACACACCAGGTTAGAACGCGTGCCTCCCACCCGCGCATCTCCACCAGTGCCACACATCTGCTTTTCTGCTATTAGAGGCAGCGCAGTGTAGAAGAGAACTATTTTTAAGAATTTTAAAATAGTTTACTATCAGCTAAACTTGAATATCAGAAAATATTCAAGAAAACAACTATTATCCCACTCAACACAACTGAAGAATATATTAGAATCCCTCCCCAACACCTGAGCATCTGCAATGACACAAAAAGGATCATTTTAGAGACCTCACGTAGCACGTTTTGCTCAATAAATGTTAATACTATACAGACTACAATGCTAAAAAATACGAGGGCAGAGTTTGTGATAGAACGATGCTAAAATTGTTGAAATAGGCTGGCAGAGAACATAAACACCCTCACAGGTAACACAATGCAGAGAACTAAGTCAGGCTGTCAGAACCTGAGAACTAGTTAGCTGCAGTGAAGAAACCAATCACCTTGGTTTCACATTCCTTTCCTAAGTAAGGTTGTACAGAAGAGACCTGTTATCAACCTTGCCGTACAGCCCCATTCTCGGTCTAAAACGTTACCTTTTAGCATCTTTTCTTCTGCCCTCCTCTGCTCTTCCTCTTCTTTTTCTCTATAGTAGGTTATCCTTCGTTCTTCTTTACGCTGCCTTTTACGTTCTTCCAAGCGATTATGCCGTTCTTCTGCTAATCGCTCTTCAAACTGTTTAAGTTTTTCCTGTAATTGAATGATCACCAAAAGCAAGGAATCAAATTATCAAGGGCTACAAGATGGCAGTAAGTTACAAAAGCACTCTTAACTTTGGTGGAACCATAAAAAGCAACCTACAAACCTAAAAATCAAATTTCCAAATGACAAGTTCTCAAATGGTTAAAACTTTGAATCGACAGTATTATCTATACACAGTGGATTTATTTATACAAAATAAATGATTAAATCAGAGTCTAAGAGCAGGACTTTTCGATCTAGTTTTTTTCTCTTTCTGAATCAAAGAACAAAAGTTTATATCAAAACCAAGTTTAATGCAGTCTATTTTCACCTTCAGAAAAAATCCGTTTATAGTGATGGCTACGTAAGTCTAGGAAATAATTCAAGATATCTCTATTATAAAGTATTATTTGAATGATGATTATGTTAGCTCAAGACAAGAGAATGTACCACCACACTAAAGATTCATTAAGGCAAAAGCTCACGAATAAAGGTTTCCCTGAAACCAGGAAATTCACCTCATAAACAGACTGTCGTGCTGCCTTGAGCCGCATTACAAACAAATCTCTGTCTTCAAGCATTCGTGACATCCTATTCTTATGTTCTAGGGCCTTTTCCCGTTCTAGCTGCATCGTAGTAATCTGCAAACACATGATACAAAGTTAAATTTCAAAGTGCTCATTATCTGATTATGAATTTATCCCAAATTTCTGACAGATATTCTTGAAGAAGTGTAAGCATCTCCTCTGCCCCCTCCATTCTGCCATACCAACAGCTCCCTAGGACAACAATGAGGAACAGAAGATGAATAAAAAAGACTTGGGGCATCTGTAAGAAACAGCTTTAACCCCACGGTACCAGAACATCACTGACTCAATGAACATAAGTCTGAGCAAACTCCTGGAGATAGTTAAAGACAGAGAAGCCTGGAGGGCTGCAGTTCGTGGGGTCACAAAGAGTTGGACAGGACTGAACAACGACAACCACAAAATTTAAGGAGGAAAAACTAAAATGTGTATGATAAAACAAAACAACATATACTTCATGGCTTTATTATTTACTATATTTTCTTCTTTAAAAAGCAACTGGAGGGTCTTCTCTGGCCCCTCCAGGGAGTGTGGGTTTGATCCCTGATCAGGAAACTAAAATCTCAAATGCCATGAGGCACAAGCAAAAAAAAAGCTTTTAAAAATTTTGTTTCAATAAATTAACTTTAAAAAGCAGCAAATCTTCTCAAGCTTTTAGCTGGTCTGTAGCACTTTCTCTAATTTCATGTTAAAAGAATTATCACACAAATTCCAACTTTAAGAAAATGGGAAAAGATGGTTAATACTAGGCCCAGAATGACAACAATCCAATGAAACCAAGAGCACGCAGCCACCACAGATGTATGTTGTCTCCTGCCTGTGGTTACTTTTTTTAACCAAAATGAGGTCACTCATTTTTACTACAAATTTGGCCACTATAAGCATTTGCAAATGATGCTTTTGTACTGTTAAGTACATATAAGCAAATAAAACTACAGAAGGAGCTGTTTAGTCTCACACACACACACACAGACTATATGATTCCATCTCTAAGAAATACCCAAAACAGACATGTCTAGAGACGGAAAGGAGTTAAGTGGCTGCTGAAGGAGTGGAGAGAAAATGGAGTGACTGCAAATGGGTATGAAGTTTCCTTTCGGGTATGTTCTAAAATCAGATTGTTGCCCAATTCCATAAATATACTAAAAACGTCAATTGCACACTTTAAATTCGTGAATTGTATCTCCATAAAGCAGTTTAAAAAATAAAAAATAAAAAGTTCAGCTATCCTTTGGACTTTACAAGTTTTATTTTTTAATCCCTATTTTGTAAATGTCTATTGCCCTGTTTGTATACGGCCATTAGAGCGCAATTTCTGGCAAAATAATACAAAAATCAATTTGAAACCCTGTTCCCATTACTGGCTTTATTATAGCTTGCTTACAGTCTAAAAATATTACAATTAAATTAAAGCCTTACTCTTTCTTCTTCTTGTTGTTCCCACAGATCCATGTCTTTAATTCTCTGTTCTTCATAGGCACTCTTTATCAAGGGGATTTCTTCCAAACGCTTAGCTCTTTCAAAGTAGTCAATCTGAGAATCATGAAATCAAATGTTGTTAAAAAAAATTCTTTTAACTTGGCACATTAAAGTTCATCAGTTCTTTCATTTACCTTCTTTTCTTGATTCTTTAGGCGTTCCTGAAGTTCCTTCTTTTCCTTCTCCAGCTGTTCAACCTGTTTAGCCATGATGAAATCAGGATCCAATTCTTCAAGGTCCTGAAAAGTAACAGAAATGTACCACAATTAATAAGAGTATAAAAGAAGTGCATACCAGTCAATATGGAGCACCACTTCTTTCCAGGAATGGATCCTAAATTATTTCAAAAGAGCAAATGCTTATAATGGGTAAATTTAGGCAACAGAAAAATGTTTTTAAAAGAGGCTTATTTGCTTGTGAGGAAAAACAATGTAACCATAACATCTACTTCTTATTCCTGTATTCTACTGTATCCAAACTCCATTTCAACAGTGACTAAAAACTGTGGAGTCACCAAATCAAATGCTTATTTCATAGACTAACCATTAATAGCTGTATCAAACTGAGCAAAATAACCAAATAACCCAAAGTAAACCAATAAATGGTAAAGAACTGTGCTTCAAAGGGACCTGAATAAAACTGGAATTTTAATGCATTAATATGCTACATACTTCAATGTCAATATCTTTGAATGCTTTGGCACCCAGTTCCGTCTTCTTGATTTGCTCCAAACGCTCACGAACAGTTTTCTTCTTGATCTGTTCATGTTCCTGTAAGATCCGCTCCTTCTCTCTCTCCTTTGCCTCCTGTCTCAGCCTCTCTTCCTCAGCCTTCCGCACTTTCTGGAGTTCAGCTTCCCTCTGCTCCAGTTCTTCTTTCTCACGCTGAATATTCAGACTCTCAAGCCGCTCTTTTCTTTCCTCAATTGTCTGACGGCGAGCCAGGATACGCTGATGCTCTTTCCGTGAATTTTTAAGATACGCAGTAACAGCCAACTGATGCTGTTCTTCTTTCTCTTGCTTCAAAAACAAATGCATTAAAAATATTAAAATAAATAAATAAGATAAAAATAATTTTAAGTGACATACCACAGTATTCAACACCAAAAGTATTGCTACATTCTCCTAATGTATTTTCCTAACATGTATTTGCATTTAAAAAGAGATGATGACATTATTCAACTACTGGTTTCTAGCACCAAATACTATGATGCTACAACTATTCAAAGTCTTTAACAGCAATGATATAGCTGAAGAACCTTTATCTGCTAGGCCAACTATTATCTGAACCACATATACTATAAAGAGTTCAAGCCAAGGAGAAAATACTAACAGAGCTCACAAACAACTTAAACAGAAAGGAAAAGCGTGATCACAGTACTCCCCATGTGGAGGGTCATCACCTGTGGTCTGTTATCACTCATCACAGTACTCCTATGGTCACCTTACCCGTTTTCTGACCCAAAGAAGGTAGCTCAATGATCTGTGTATTTAACAAAATATCAAAAGTATCAAACACAACTAAGGGCGAAATCTGTAATAGATCCCTTCTCTGAGACATCGTTTCAGACCTTCTTGTGCAAGGCCTAAAGGGCCCCCATAACCCCGCGGTCCATCACCCCCAGGTGCGTACCAGAATGTGAGCTGGCTTAATGACTTCGAGTGCTTTCGCAAGGACTGAGGACATGGCGGTCAGCTGGTTTCTTATCTGTTCTGAAGGCATGCTTTGCAGATGAGGACCAATTGGAGCATCTTCTCTAGTAGCATAATTCAAGTCAGATCCAAAACTAAGGGTCCGAGAAGTGTGGTCAATACGAACCTATGAAAATTTGAAGAGTATTATAAATAGTTAAATCTACATGCAAATATAAAGTCATTATACAAATGAGTAACTTTGATTAAAATTTCAACTGAATTTAAGAACAAAGATCAACTGAAGAATGTCGAATATCAAAGCTAGAAGCCTCCATTCATGAAAGCTTTGAAACAGTGCCACTCTACCAAACTCAGAGAAACAGCGTGTGTTTCAGTCCCCACAAGCTCGCCACCCCCTCGGTGTGCCCTGGGAGCGCCTACCTGCAGGTCGCAATGCCTGGCTGCATCTACTATGGCCCGTTCCAGTTGGAAAGCATCAACAAAAGGAACCAGAGAAGTCAAACGAGAAAACTCAATGCTCTGATAAATTTGTGCCACCTGCATAAGAAACACAAGGTTAATAATAATAATAGCTATCATTTATTTAGCAATTGTTACGTGGAGTCTCATGGAACAGTAGAAAGTTAGCCTATTTTTCAAAGAAAAGAAACTGAAGCTCAGAGTATGTAAACAATGCACTGCTGGAGCTAGAATTAAAATCCAAGGCTAATGAAAAGATTATGCTATATTTCAAACCATCACATAATCCTTTCAAATCCTAGTTCCATAAAAACAAACCAAAAAAATCCCTAAATGGTCACATATTTGTACACAGAGACCTGCTACTTACCTAATTCATCTGAACATTTAATAAAACTGTTTGTCTGAAGGAGACTGGCAGTATTACTATTTAGTTATACTGCTAATTAACCTTCAATTATTTGTATAGCACAGAAGAAATAACACTGCTCACACACAGGAGAGAAAGCAGGTCAATGACATGTGCACCAACATGGAGGTTAACATACAGTAAACGCTCTCCACCACCAATGAAACAAATGGAAGACACAAGAGGATCATTTAAGTCATACTGTAAACCATAATATTCAAACTTAAGTACAAAGTTAAACTACAACAGTTGAAAGGCTGACAATACTGGGACTTCCCTGGTGGTCAAGTGGTTAAGAATCCATGCGTCCAATGCAAGGCATATGGGTTCCATCCCTGGTTGGGAAACAGATCCCACATACCACAGGATTGCCAAAAAAACTAAAAGACTGATAATACTTAGTGTTAGCAGGAAAAAAAGCTTTCTTCACTACTGGTGGGAGGGTCAATGAATTCAATCTCTGAGGATCTGCTTAAAGTTTTAAATGTGTAGACTATGGCTAATTCCACTTCTTAGAAGCTACAAAAGTTACAGAAGTATGCAAAGATACCTGTATGGAAAATGTTCACTATTTCAACTTTTTATTATGGCCAAAAAAACTAAAGAATTTCCACCAATAGTCTGAATAAATAAACCAGGGTACTTCTAGACAATGAAAAACTACATAGGTATTAAAAGGAATAAGATGTACATGGCTAACAAGGAAAAATGTATGAAGACAATGGTTAACAAAAAGAGACAAAAGCAGTTATGAATTATGTAAAATAGTGATTTTTCAAATCAAACACATAAAACTACTTTTGGTGGGGTTTAGAATTTGAGGAAGCTTTTTCCTGGGCTATTTCTAAATTTTTTAGTTTTGTGTTCAAAACAATCAATGTAAAATTCCCAGCTGTTCCATAACACATCCATTTTTTTCATCTTTACCTGCTGGAGAAGCCGGAGTATGGTATTGTTCTGCAGCTGTGGAACATACTGTTGTAACTCTGGTTCCTTTTCAGGCTGTTCCCTAACCCAATTGAGAACCTATAAAACCCATTAAAAGAGTTATATTTTCTCTACAATAAATACTAAAACACTGGTGATACTTTTTCATTTTCTTCACAGACAAAATCATCACATAATGCAAAGAAATACAAAATGTAACAGGAAGCTATTGACTCTTGTATGAAGGTGACTGACAGCAATGGCTAAATTAAGCCATGCTGCTAATTTACCTCCAAAGGTTTATTTAGCACATCAGAAATATCTTTTCTCCTGACATAAAGAAAAAAGACAATGAAATGTGCACCAAATTCAAACACATAGGATAACCCTTTTCTGTTAACAAATATGGGACTAACTGGGAGGTTCTGACTGACACGTATACACTGCCAGGTGGAAAACAGCTAGTGGGAAGCCACTACACAGAAAGCTCAGCAGGTGCTCATTGATGGCCAGGGATGAAGGGAAGCCCAAGACAAGAGGAAGACAGATGTATGCATATGGCCACTCTACTTCATTGTACAGCAGAAAACTAACACACTGGAAAGCAATTACATTCCAATAAAAAGAAAATACTACAACATAAAACTGTAACAGGGATGGCTACATGGTAATATAACCAAAGCTTACCTTTGTGACTCTCTCACAGAGTTTTAGTGGGTTAAATTCGACTTCCAGCCAATTGTAAAGGTCTTTTACTTCTGGGACAACATATTGTAGCACATTGAATCTGACCTACAGTAAGCAAAACAAAAGGATTAACTGCTGAAGGTATTTTGTAACTGGGATTCTGAATTGATTATAAATTAAATAAAAATATCAGACTGGAGAGCTGGGAAATAACTGGTATTTATCTAGCCTCAACCACCTCTAAACTTACCAGGAGAAATCCAGGGCCACTATGCTGAGTCTCTTGCCCCAATTATGCAGCTCTCTACAGGGAGACCCCACAGGAGTTTACAAGGAAATAAAAACTCATCAACAGTCAAAATATTTACCAAGACCATTCATGTGGCCAACACCAATCAGTTTATTATCAATAAAAAGTAAACACCAGTTTACAAATAGCTGTATCAGAGAAAAGTTATTACAGCAACCCTGCTCGGAAAGCCACAAATTCAAACAAAAAAAAACAAACAACTCAGGACAAAACAGGCCCTGATTCACATAATACACAAAAAAACAGTCAAAGAAAGAACAACTATATTCAATACATGAATATATCTCACCAATGAGAAGAATTTCATATATTTATGTGAGATTTAAATTTCATATAAAATACACAAACAGGCAAAATTAATCTGTGGTGTTATAAATCAGGACTGTGGCTATTCTTGGGAGAACAGGAAAAAGTGGTGAATGGAAAAATCTTTTTGAGAATTTACACAATTATACTTAGGACATGTACTTTAAATATGTATGTTACAATTTAATCAAAGTTGATATGTGAATAGAACTTCCTTGCACAATAAGGATGTAGCTTGTATAACCTGCCCTCAGGTTTGGGACATCAGTCATATACCTATCAAGAAATTATTCTATGGCCATTAGCAAAAAAAATCTTTAATCCTGGACAAGGTATGGAGAAAAGGGAACCCTCTTACACTGCTGATGGGAATGGAAATTGGGGCAGCTACTAACGAAAGCAGTATGGAGGTTCCTCAGAAAATTAAAATTAGAATTATCATGATTGAGCAATCCTACTCCTGAGCATAGATCCAAAAAAAATAATTCAAAAAAGATACATGCACCCCTACTATTGTGAATAGCAGCACTATTCTCAACAGCCAGGGCACAGAAACACCCTAAATGTTCATCAATAGATGAACTGATAAAGAACACACACACACAGTGGAACACTATTTAGTCATTAAGAAAAAGAATGGAATAATACCATCTGCTGCAACACAGATATAACTAGAGATTATCATATCAAGTGAAGTCAGAAAGAGAAAAAAATACCATATGATCACTTTCATGTGAAATCTAAACTATGACACAAATGAACCTATCTATGAAACAGAAACAGACCCACAGACATAGAGAACAGACTTGGGCTTGCAGGGGGATGGACTGGGATGTTGGGGTTTAGCAGATGCAAACTGTTACATACAGAATAGATAAACAAGGTTTCCTACTGAATAGCACAACTATATTCAGTATCCCAAGACAAGCCATAATGGAGGAGAATATAAAAATGAATGTACATAAAAATCAAACCACTTTGCTATACAGTGAAAATTAACACATTATCAATCAACTGTACTTAATAAATGAATATTCTGGATTTTCCACTGAGCACCCCCTCCAAACAAGGAATGTGCTGAGACAGGCTATCATAATCTATTGAAGTATACTTGCTTCCCAAGCTTAACAATCTTTTATGAACTTGATTAATTTGAGTCTGTTCCTGAGATACTAGAATCATTCTCTAGGTAATTATGAATTTACCTACATAAACCTAATACTCAGGTCTCGACCTTGTACATATAGTGAACTCAAAATTTATAAAATGCCTCCTGACATCTAGTTAAGCCATTCATCTGGCACCAACTAAAAGCCTTCTTATAGGCACTTATTTATGGGTCCAATGAGGACCCAAACGTGGATGTCCTGCCTACTGACCCTAACCCCACCAACAGATTCCTGCATCAGTATCATAAGTGATCAACTTTAACATCAAGGTGTGCTCCATGAGCTCAAGAGATATGGATAATACTTCCAATCAGGCACACTTCAGTATTCAAAAAAATTTTTTAAATACTTATCTGCTAGTTAAGACCTCTTCCTAAACACAATGCTCTTATTTAATTACATTTAATCCTAATTCAGTCCCATAAAAACATGCCAACACACAAAGCCGGTTTTTATAAATGGCAGCAGAATAAAACATGAAGGCATTCAGACAGAAATACTATTTCAGAGGTTAAGTTAGTTCTTTTAAAAAATTGACCACAAAGGGAACTTGCCTTGCTACTGTAACAGAGAACTGTTACAAGCGAAAACTGTTGCCATATACAAAATGTATTAACTTTTATCCAAACTGATTGACTCTGCCAGTGAAGGAATAAGGCCTATTCTCTAATACCTGTCCCTCTTTTTTCTCTTACCCTGAAGTAATTTGCTAGAGGGGTACCACAGTAACCACTAAGTCAAATTACTGTGAACCAAACTCCTCTGGAGTACAAATTCCATTTAACTATCACCTGCCTGGCAGGTAACAGACACTAACATGATAAATTCCCACTGAATTAAAGAGTCCAATGTAAAACACTGTGAGATACAAAACCTTGGGCTCTATATTCTGAAATCAATTTAATATATGCAGTGGGTGAGACCTAGAAATCTGCATTTTAAAAAGTACTTCACACACAATTACAGTGCATAGCCCTAATTAAGAACCACTGCCAAAAAAGAAAGAACCACTGCCTTAGTAACGTACAATGGAAGTTAAAGAAAACAAAGTTGGAAACACTTGAGTTATCCAGAACTGGGCCTAATCTAATTCCACACTTTCCTGGACTCATCATCATATTTCTAACACCTATCAGCTTAATTTTTTCCTACAGCCCTTGAAATAAGCCATGATCATTCTTGCCAGTCATACTTCCCTTATCAAGGGGCCCATGCTATTCCTCAAAGCTAGTCTGAGTCTTGTCTGCTGCATCCAATTTAACTCCAGCTCATTCAAGACAAAACATCTCACCTCAACACAGGGCTGACTCACACCAATGGTTCTCAAACTTGTCCATGCATCAGAATTCCCAGCATTTAATCATAAATTATAAAACCTGACCATAGAGCGTTCTGTCCAAAGTTGTTAAGAGTGCTAAAACTTATACCAACCATATCGTTAATAAGGCCAATTCGCGTTGGTGGGGCTTGCAGGCCTAGCAGGGTTGCAAGGCGACGCTGTTTCTCAACTATGATGCCGTCCATATCCAGAAGTCGAGCAATATCAGTACGCTCAGGGGTAATAGGGATGGAAAGAGTGGCCAAAAGAACTCTAGTAGACATTCTGGAGAACAAAGTTACAATCTGTTAAATTTGCAAATGCCACCTGATAAGCAGAAAGACACTTCTCTTTAATTATCAAGTGAAATATGCCAGTGACAGAATATGTATACTACCACGATGAACTGGCCTCGTAAGTATTCATCAAAGCACGGGATTAATTAAAAAAGAAATGGATTATCCTAAAATGAACACTTGGAGAAGCAGAACTTCACCCAGCCACTTACTACTGTCAGTGTTTTCTAGCTATAGAGAAAAGACTGCGTTAAATGGCAGCACAGACACATCTGCATATACCCCTACTCCCTTATAAAAACTATTAGGGAAGATTTTAAAACTAAGAAAAAAATTGACACTTAAGAAAAGAGGGAAAAGTTACAGTTACAAGGACCACAAAAACATATTATGGGAGTTGAGGGCAAAAGTTAAGTGTTAGCTTCCTTAGAACACAAAACTCAGGACTCTGAGTGCTTTGAATTCAGGTGCTTTGAATTTAAAGCACCATAGGACACTAAGGATTGCAGGCTCTGGAGCCAAATTAGAATCTCAGCTTCACCATTTCCAAGACTGGAACCTTAGGCAAGATACTGAATTTTCTAAGTCACAAGGTGTTGGGAGGATTAAGGGAAATAATGTACATAGAGCCAGACAGCCTAATGATTATGACAGGACTCTTACAGTATTTTCTAATGGAAGAATATAGAAATAACTTGATAAAATCAAGTTTTTTTCCTTATTTCAATAGACAAGGATTATATAACAGATAGTGAATGACATAATGAACACTGTCCTCAATAGTTTTTTAAGGGACTCTCCTGGTGGCCCAGTGGTTAAGACTCTGAGCTCCCAAAGTAGGAGGCACAGATTCCCTGCTTGGGGAACTAAGATCCCACATGATGCTCTGTGTGGCAAAATATACATGTACATACATATATATATGTATACATATATATGGAAGTGCAAATTTTAGTCACTCAGTCGTGTCCCAACTCTTTGCAACCCCCTGGACTGCAGCCCACCAGGTTCCTCAGTCCAAGATTCTCTAGGCAAGAAGACTGGAGTGGGTTGCCATATACACTAGAAAAAACTTAGTTGGTTCCATGCACTGCTTACAAGCTAAGAAAAACAATTTGGTGTATGTACTTCTACTAGAGACCAAAATAACATGTCTGCCAGTAAGAAGTGGTATGTGAGTTGCCTAAGCCCAACTAAAATGTTTAATAAAAACCAAACATGACTGAAAGTATATATGTAATGCTAAAAAAATAAGTCTTTAGATTGTTAGGTTACAGGCTATCTACATAAAAATACACATGCCAATTATTTACAGAGTTAATGTTTTATAGCTGGGGGGAAAAAGTTACTTGATGAAAGTATTCATTTTGGGGGGAGGGGGTCTAATTTGTTCCTAGATTCTGAATACCTACACTCAGTTAAGGAAGCTAATACCTTAACACTGCCTTTCCTAATATTCCATTTTCTCAGTTGGAGGGTTGGTTATCAGATAAAAGACAGCTACCAAAGAATACTTCCCAAGAATACCATTGAGGTTTTTTGGTAGTTAACAGTTATAAGGGGTGCAACTGGCAACCAGTGGGTAAACCAGGGATGCTGCCAAAGATCCTAAACACAGTCCCCTGACTAAGAAATAACCAGCCCCAAATGTCAACAGTGCAGCCAAGAAACCCTAATCTAACCTCATGCCATTTACAAGATATTTCTTTTATATTTCAATACTATCCAACAATAAGACTCTTACCTTTGCATCTCTTCTTGTGTAAGATTCTTTCTCATTTCTCTAGATAAATGGTAAAGACGATGGAGTGTAGACGCATGAAAAAGAGCATTTCCAGATTTCCAAAATACAGTTGAGACTTTGTTATAGTAATTTGCCATCAACTGAGGCTTGGGCGGTTTTTTAGATAAGGAGAATAGCCCATGAATATCTTCCACAGCTTTGAATGCTTCCTAAAATTAGTGGTATAAATTATAGTCATTACAGTCCAAACAAACAAACAAAAACAAAAAAATCTCTTTATGAAACTGAAAATACATTACACTTAAGAATAAAAATGGCAAATAAAATGCCTTCATGTGTGGTTCTTTTTATTCATAATTTAACTATCTGATATATCTCAGAAAACTAACACAATTTCCTAGACTGCCCAAGCCTTTAAAAGAGTATCATACCACTTGGCAGAATATATTTTTAAAGAATCTGGAAGGACATAAAACACAATATAAAGGCTACTTCTCAGTGTTAAGATAATGAATAAATATTCTCTTCCTTTAACTTATCCATTTTTTCTATACTAGGCATGTTTACTTGTCTTCTATTAAACTTTTTTTCTTTTGTTCAGGTATCTTAAGGGTGTACCTGCATAAAAGGAAAATATGGGAAAGCAGGAAATCACATTTTCATTGGCTGAAAACTACCAATTTTTAGTTTCTTCCTCTGCAATTTCAATAAAATTTGGTGGGGGAATCAAATATATAAAAATAACTCATGAGAAAATGTCTACAGAATCCTTAGAGTAAAAAAGTCCATGTTGACAACAAAATGCGCACTTCCGAGATCTCTGATGTAGGATATATTCACTGTACGTGCTTACTAAGTCTAGGCAGCACTGAGAAATCTAGGGGACAGTCTGGTGCTGCATTTCTCCAACTCTCTGCGGTAAAGGACAAGTTTGTCTTTATAATTTCTAAACTGTTGCCATCAATACTTCTATAAAGTACAATAAATTACTATTAAAATAAGATGGAAAGACAAACTGATTTTTTTAAATCAGGGTAAACAGACAAAAAACTACCATGAAATTATTTACAAAATTTTGTAAATGCATACTCTCCAGGCATTGAACCACAATTTGAGCACTGAGGTCTGAAAAAGATTACATGATTTGGCTTGGAATTGACAGCAGGCATTTGGAACCAAAATAACTGAGATTTCTTGTCCCAAACTCTTACTTCTCCATTAGACAACCTCAAATCTGTTACCTAGCTATTGAAATTAACCAAGAGATACCAAGATGCAGATACTCATTAAGAGGAAAAAAAGGTAATATGGGTTACTATTACTACAAAAAAAAGCCAAAATAGTTCACAACATACCTGCCACAATTCCATGCTGATAGCACTGTCCAACTGAACAAGCCTGGTTTCCAAATGCATAGACTGGCTCTCTGGATTATTAAGGTTGATTGCTGTACTTTGGTTATGGTGGCGTTGAATCTGAGACAAGTGCATTCTCAAGTTGTCACACAACTTACGGAATTCAGCCTTCCGGGTATATTGAAGGCAGAATTTGAAAGCTATAAGCATAATTGTAAAATATGTTAGGTACTTTCCACCATAAACTTAGTATTTAAATAGGTTCTATTTCATGTATTAAGGTCAGTTATCTTAACAAGATTTCCCAAACTCACCATCAGTCTTGAGAAATGATCAGAGTCATAACTCACTTCATGTGCCCTGAGCACCTTTTAGACACAGTCTTCAGTCCTGGTCTAGGACTGAAATGGTTCTGAGAACTAAGGAAGCTATTAAAGTCTAAGAGGGACTCACCTTTCAAACACTTATCACTTCAAACCCTAAAAGAGCAAAAAAAATTCTGGTCTGAAATATAATTAACTCTCTTACCTAATTTACTAGAAAACAAAGCTTCTGCACTAACTGAAACCGAATAATACAAATTGGGGGTTTATGGTAACCTAATTTCAATTGTGCAGAGATGTATAAATGAAATACTTGCTCTATCATTAAAACACGTAATTTTCTACTATCATACATGCAATACTAAAATAACTTCTTCCAATGTCCTTTGTCAATCCCTTAAAATAGAGTATTTCTATTTCAATAGGCCTGAAACAAAAGGATGCAGTTTAACTACAAGTTAATATTTATCTCAACTGTTATCAAAAGGTCCTAGTTTACTTGTGTTAGATGCTAGCAAAACAGATTCTAATACTCCTTTATAGTAAGCTATTCTTGGTCACATAATCACTTAAAACTTTTGAATAAACAAAAACAAATTCCATGTTAAAAAGAATGGTGACAAGCTTGTGCCTAAGGCTAAAAGTAAGAAAAAGCCAAGAGCCACTCATGTCATATATAGTTAAAAGGTTGCACTGATAGGAAGATAAGCTGCAACAGTAAGGCAAAAAGACAAGATTAGGAAAACAAACTTAAAACAGTTCTTCAGATTAAAAGTGCATGGAGTGTTAACTATTGGATACTTTTTATGATGATCCTGAGTCTTCAGTAAGGTTTAGTTCTATACTCATTAACACTCTGGAACTCAAAAAGACCTCAGAAACCCAGCATATGGTTAAGTAGCTTGCTGAAGAGTATGCTATAGCGTCAAAAGTATTGATAGAATCAAGCCTGCCAGAAAGCAACAGAAAAGTTTATCTTTTCAGTCACTTAGAAAATTCCAAAATGACTTTAAAAGGTGCTTTAGACATCGACGGAAAACAAAGAATTACCTTGACTAATGAAACAAATTTCTTATTTAATATTCAAATGAATGCCAATCATCTAAAGAAAGAATTAAAACTATGTAAAATAAGTACTACAGAGAAAAGGAGGTCAACTTTAACAGTTAATCTTTTGCAAAACCTATCCTTAAGTCAACTTTTCAAATCAGTTCTTGTTTTACCTTGTTGGGCAATATCATGGTAGAGACGCTCTACTCTAGAATTGTTTCGAAGAAGGTCCAGACACTGTCTGTATGATTCCCACAGGAATTTAACCCATGGAGTTAAAAGTAATCTGTCAGTACGATCCTGAGTGTCTTCACCACTTACAGCACTTAGGAGAACACTACAAAAATATTTAAAAACGTTGAAAACAATTTTAGACATGGTTTCCTACTTTGCCATATGATTATAAAACCAAAACCAACAATGATCATTATAAAATAGTTCAAATCCTACCTACAACTTTGAACATACTGTAAAGCTATGACTTAGTCCAAGTATTTGAATTCTCAATCTGTATTAAAGCCATTTAAACTAGTATACACCCTATCGGATGGTTGTAATTTTTCACTTTCATGAACTTTGAATAGTATATGACTTGAAGTTACTGTACATTTAAAATTCCAAAGACAAGCATTCTTTCTAATAAACATTTACTTCAAATGGGGACAATGGAGACACATGTGAAGAAAAACAATGAGAAAGATATATTTAGCAATTTAGCCCACATACCTCTCAGGAGTTTGAATATTATCCAGATCTTCTATGTCTAAGACCATCTGCTGGGACTCTTCTTTAGCAGCTTCCGTTTTCTCCTCTGCCAATTTCAAATATGCCCTAACAACATCCTCTAGAGATTTGATGTTCACCTAGCCAATAAATAAATAAATAAAATTCGTTTCCCAACAAACCGAAAAATATTTTAAAAGCAAACTTCATGGTATGAAACAGTAAATCTGAAAGGTAAATGCCTCCTCAAATGACTAAAAGCACTTACTAAAATATAAACCCCAGCTGTTCATACCTGTTGACAAATGTTCTTATACTGATATAAGCCTTCTTTAGCCAAATGGCTCTTGCGGAGATCCACACAAAGTTCCAAGTATTTCAACATAATCGGCTCGTGTATCTTTTGCCATGTTCTATGTTTCTTACTTTTCATAACATCATAAAGAACGTCCAAAGCAGGTTGCTTTTTGCCAACTTCAAGAAATTCTGGAAAAGTTAATTCAGGAGAATTAAAATTAGTTATGTATGCTATATAAAAACCTAAGTCTTGCTTTTTAACTCAGCTGTTTTAATTTACCAACCTATTACCATCTCTTTTGAGGTCACAATTTATTTTTGATTTCTAATACTATGCCAAGGTAAAACAATGAAAAACTGATACTATCTCAAATATGCCCTATAGGTAAAACTAGATTTCACTCAATTCCTCTGCACCAATTATGTCTAAATTACTTTATAAAGTTCCAGAAATTCAAGTCATGAGAGTAACAATCTCCCCCTAGAAAAGGCAGAAAAAGCAAGTGCAACTTCAGTCACAATGATCTGGCTGATGTAATTTTTGCTAGCTTGTATTAAGACTTGAGGTAGAACAAATTAGATTGGCTACATTCCTTTTAGATCAATTGACTGTGTGGGTCTATTTGGGGGCTCTACTTTGATCATTTCTCTACTGACCTGCCTAGGCTGTGGCCAATATCTCACTGTCTTGATCACTGTAGCCTGACAGAAAATCTTGGAAGTCAGGTAGTGGGGGTACTCCAACTCTGTTTTTCAATACTAGCTGGCTATGTAACACCTTTTGCCTTTTCATACAAACTTCAGAATTGTTTGTAGATACCTAGAAAACAGCTCACTAGGATCTCATTGAACCTATATAACAAATTTGGAAGAACTAACAGCATTTGTCTTCCAATCCATGAGCACAAAGTATCTCTCCACTTATTTATCCCAATCTAAACACAAGAAACAAACTGAAACAAATCCCAGCTAAGAGACAAAATACCTGACAACCAATACTCCTCAAACTGTCAAGGCCATCAACAAACCTAAGAAACTGCCACAACCAAGAGGAGCCTAAGGAGACAACCAAATGTAATGTATCTTGGGTGGGATCCTGGAATACACAGGGGACATTACAGAAAGCTGAGAAAATATGAACAATGTATGGACTTCCCTAAATAATAATGTATCAACATTGATTCATTAGTCGTAACAAACATACAACACAGATCTAAGATATTTATTAACAGGAACATCTGTGTGTGCTGTGACCCTCTGTACTATCTTTACAATAATTCTGTAAATCTCAAACTTCCAAAATTAAGTTTATTTTTTAATTGAGAAAAAAATTTTAGAATGTAGAGCAAACAAATGTATACTCTTTAAAATTCACTGCCTAAACCTGATGGCATTCTGTATGTAGCAACATTTCAAAATCTGTTCCAACCTCAGATTTTGGGTACACTCCTTGTTTTGAAAATCAAAAGCAAAGACCCCCTCCATCACATTTCTGACCAAAGTTAAAATTTATCATATTTTTTTTCCTTTTTTAACTTTCTCAATACACTTAACAGACTATGGGTGGCTCTTTTCTGGTTTTGTTCAACTTAAAACTCAGTACGTGCCAAATTCACACACGCAAAAATTTCTCCACTGAAAATTTGACAAGTAATTTGGTAGAATACTAGTTTATGCTATAAAAAACTTAAAACACATCTGTTTTTTAAAATCATTGTTCATTTTTCTAAAAAAATCCTTGACATAATTATTTTTGGCATTAGCCTAACAATGTATAGCATTATCTAAGCTATAACTATGCTACGGCAAACACAGACCAAAATGTCTCTCTTATCTGAAGGATTTACTAGATCTATGGATTTAATGAGTAACTCTTATTTCTTCTTCCAATCGTATCTTTCAGGAATGCTGCCTCTGAACATTCCTTCCTCCAGGAAAACTATAAACAATATTTCAACTCTAGTGTATTTTTAAAACCTTATACAGCAGACATCACAAAACACACTGAAATAAGTATCTTTTAACACAATATCCTACATCTTCCCATATTATACCAAATCATACTCCTCACACGCAAATTAATATAAACCCCTCTTCAATACTTCAATAATCTCAATATCAAATCTGCCAATATGGCAGCAAGGCCATTTTCACATTACACCCCTCCCAATTAAAGATGTAACATTGAATACAACTAGATACTTCGCTGGAGTAAGCCTTTTCTGTTTTAAGGGAATGACCTACTCATCATCTTCCTGGAGCATGCACTCAGTTATTTTAAAATTCAACAATATTTTAGCGTTTTTTCACAACTATTTAACAGAAACAGCTTCTATCAGCCAAAAATTGGGGAATAAATGTTTTTACATTTATCCTTTACATTAAGGATATTACAGGAGCCCACCAAAACGACTTCTTATATCCAATACCCAATCTTACGTTGAGGATTCAAATTCCATTCTACTGTACATAAACACTACCAATATTTTGCAAAATAGGCACCAAGAGTTAAATTTAAGAGCTGGTCCCAGTATGATGTGGTGACAAAATAACAAACTATCAAAAAATAATTCCCAATCTCTTATTTTTAAATGACTGTGGTAACAATGTCACTTTAAAAAACAGTAAGTCTTGTTTAGTGATAAAACTGAAAGTACTTTTCATTTCCTCAACACCTAGTCAAAATTTAAGATTCAAATTCAATACTTTCAAACTCCAAACCAATCATCTAATTAGGGGAAAAAAACAAGTCTTTGAGGCTGGAGAAAACTATCACACACTAAAAGCTGTATTGCAATCTTTAAAGAAACGTTCATTTCCAGATTGATATCGTCTTAAAAATAAAATCTGGAATTAGAAACTATTCCTAGGAGGGTAGGCATTCTTAAAAAAACAGTGAGTGATCTATGTATCTACCTACAGTAAAGTTTAGGTCAGCCCTTCAATTTTACTAGTTTATTTGTGTAACAGACCAAGTAGATAAGCTATGTTACATAATTTGTGGGTTTAATAACAACTTTATTTTTAAGACACTGGTTGTAGGGTTTAAGTTAAAAGGCTGTTATTTCCAATTGCTTCCAAAAATACTGCTCTGACAAACCATTCTACACCTAAATTTACTCACATCTTATTAAGATACTCTAATGGATGGGGTCTAAATGTGATTTGATATTACCAATGTTATAAATGAGGTTATTCCCATTAAAAATAAAATGTGCTCTGATTACCCTATTTATAAAATTTTGTCAGCAGTGTCATATGCCATCCACATTCTGCTCTTTGATACTAAAACAGGATCTAAGATGAAAAGTACAGAAATTATACTACTTGAAAGGGAAGGCATCTCTACCAAACCAGCACTCATCTAAGAGCTTTTTAAAAGGCCTTTTACAAAAACTACACTAACAAATTCAAGTCCCTATCCCCATGTCTTTGTCATCTTGCCTACTTTAATTTCTGACATCTTCACAAATTGCTCTTCATGAATCAAATTTCCTTAGAAAAATTGTGAGAAAAGATTTTAAATGTTAACACATATCCCTTCTAATTTTAAAGTTACTCAAATATTAAGTTCATATACATTCAAAAGGGAGGAGTGAAGGATACAAGGCTTGAACATATCAACATGTAGTATTTAGGCCATGGAGATTACAGTGCTTCAGCCAATTAACATGGGAAAAAATGTGTTGGTAAAGCATTCAAAGGGCTATAAAACAGATCTACAGTAGTAATTTCACCCAAGCCATTTGTGTACCACAATATATAATAATTCTCTTAAGTTTCACAACATTTAAGAAATAATGCTTTCCCTAAATTTGCTAGTTTATTTTGTAGGGTTAAATTTCCATCTCAATCTTATTTTCTTTCCTATAAATTAATCAGCATGTGTAAACTTCCTGCCTGTTCAAGCATGGAGGATCCGAGTGAGTGATTCGATCAAAGTTGTAGTTTCAATTGTTTTTTAGAAGTTACTCTATTCCACAGAATGTGGCATTATCCTATTCCACAGACGGTTGCTTATCCCCGAAATTGTTAATTTACAGTAAAAATAACAAGCATGCGACAAACAGCTCTCTGGCCCTGACAGATTATCAGCAGTACCAACTGTACGCATTGACTGAAACTGACTTTTTCCTAAAAGGATTTTTCAAACGAACAAAATAAGCTTCATAAGTATAAAAGGGTTAACAGACACTGTACATCGATCCACAACAGGGGTAAGACCCAAAACTCGTTTGGCTTGAGGAAGCGTGAAAATGAAAGAGCAATGGACGCCCTAACACTTATAAACCCTAAATAAGAATCTATTGAAAGACCAGAGAATACATTTGCACCCCTTGTAATGGCAACGTAATAAATGCCTCTTGAACAGATCAGGACACACACAAGTTTTCCCAACAGTGCCGCCGACTCAAACACACATATGGAAATAATCGCAAGCAGCAGCGCAACATGGGGGGGTGGGGGGTGGGGGGGGGGGCGGGGAACCACGATAGATCTGGAAGTTCAAAGACCTTGGTGTTAGGCTTCTAGCTCAACAACTCACTCCCAGAGTGACCTTGGGCAAACCAGTCTCCCTAGGCCTCACTTTCCTAATCTTTGAGAGAAACTTCAAGTCTTATAGTATTAACTCTGTCCCAACTTCCTTGTGACTCGGAGTAGGCGTCGCAGCTGCCAATAATCAATGCCAAAAGAAAAAAAAAAAAATAGGGAACGAGTTAAATGGGTCAGAGTCCCAGAAGCGGATAAGAGGGGTCGGAGGGGGAAGTGGACCCTGAGCCGGCAAAGCACGGCGCTGAATTCCGGGGCGCGGAGGCGTCCGCAGGAGGGCCCGGAGGTGGGCCTGCCTGGCCTCCCGGCCCGGCGGGAGGAGGAGCCGAGGTTCTCGCGTGCATTGTCCCCGGGAGGGAGCCATATTTCCTCCTCCCCGGCACTCCCAGATGGCGGCTGGGGGCGCGGGGCCGAAGCGCACAAGGCCCCGTGGTCTCGGGTGAGGGGGTGCCCAGCAGAGGCGGGGAGAGAGAGAGGAGCTCGGGCCCGGGTCGGCTTGTCTCCGGAGCCGCGACGCGCCACCCTGCCCCCGCGAGACTCACCAGGCGGCAGCGGGAGGAAGGCCAGCCCCGCAGAGAGACGGTTCCCGGCTCCGCGCCTCCCACCCTCGCCGTTCAACCTCCCATGTCGGTTGGAGCGAGAAGGGATATCATACCCAAACCCAGGCTGGGTCGGCGGCGGGCAGGCCGCAGGGGCGGGCAGGCCGCAGGGGCCTCCCGTGCACCCACAGTCGGGCGGTAGCACACCGCGCACCAGGCCCGGGCCCCCTCGACCTCCGAGGCCTCGGGCCGCCCCAGTCCGGCGCGCTCCGATCCCCTCCTCACCGTTGGCGCGCTTGAGGGCATTTTCCGGCCTCTGGAAATAGGCCGGCATCTTGGCGGCAGGCTCAGTTCACCCGGCGTCAGCGAATCCTCGGGGTCCCGGACCGGGAGAGGAGACGAAGGGGAACCAGCGCGAGGCTCCACGCGCCTCGCCAGCAGTCGCCCGCGCCCAGCCGGCCAAAGACGGAAAGGAAGAAGACACGTGACCCCCCCTGCGCGGCGGCGCCGCCGCCGCTTAGGCCCCGGATGTAGGGGGCAGTCCTCCGGCACGCCCCGCCCCCCCCGCGCGCAAGCGCGTTGGCGTCACGCGCGCTGGCTGACGTGGCGGCTGTGCTCGGTTGACGGGCGCTCGGGTTCCACCTCCGCACTCTTGCGAAACGTACGTTTGCGAGCGGGTTCTCAGGCCCCTAGCTCCTCGAGTGAGAATAGGGGTGAGAAAGATGCATTTTGGGTCAGAGCTACTACCTGGCGAGAAAGCGCTGTCTTCCTCTAATATGATTTGTGCGGAGTCCTGCAAAATTAGAATCAAGTCTCATTCGCCTCAGTTCGGTTTCGTTCAGTCAGCTCAGTCGTGTCCGACTCTTTGCGACCCCATGGACTGCAGCACGCCAGGCTTCCCTGTCCATCACCAACTCCCCGGAGCTTACTCAAACTCATCTCCATCGAGTCGTTGATGCCGTCCAACCATCTCATCCTCTGTCATCCCCTTCTCCCGCCTTCAGTCTTTCCCAGCATCAGGGTATTTTCCAGTGAGTCAGTTCTTGGCCCAGGCTTCTCTCCCTGGAATTCTCCAGGCAAGGATACTGACTTGGCTGAGTTAAAATACCAAATTTATTCACTTAACACAAATGCATTGAGCACATATCATTAGGCCAAGGATGTCCACCTCTAGTGGAGACCTGTCACATGATGACTAGCATGGGGAGGGGAGTTGCAATAAGTAACTAAACAACTAAGCAGGCTTTTTTCACATCTAGGTAAAATTCTAAAGTTGGTGACACAGAGAGTGCCCGGGCCCTCAGAAAAGGCTCGTTTTGAGCCAAGACCTGAAGGTTGGGATATAGTGGAGACAGTCTGGTGTGGGGAGAAAAGACATGCAGCAGACCAGACCCTCAAAATATTTGAAAATACATGGGAGTGTCGTCGCCTTGATGTTAAGCATATACTGCATACAAACCTAAGAAAAGGTTTGTGAAAGGTTACTGAAAAAATTCTGTAATAGACCCTTTGCTACAGATCTTCTATTTTTGATGAACAATTTAATGTTCAAACATCATACCTAGAACTTGAAAGCCATTTAGACTTAATCTAATTACTCAAAATGAGTTCTCGGACTTGCCTGGCAGTGGTCCAATGGTTAAGACTATGCACTTGCATGGGTTCCATCCCTGGTCAGGGAAACAGAAGATCCTGCATGCCCTGCAGCTTGGCCAAAGAAATTAAGTTCGTGCTCGCTTCGGCAGCACATATACTAAAAAAATTAAAATAAGTTCAGAAGAAAAATTCAGAAAGCAGCAGTGGAATAAACTGTTGCAAATTTATTACACATTTTGTAATAATGAGTGGTAAAGAACCTGCCTACAATAGAGGAGACCACCTGTAATGCAGGAGATGTGGGTTTGATTCCTGGGTGGAGAAGACCACCTGGAGAAGTGAATAGCAAATCATTCCAGTATTATTGCCTGAGAAATCCCATGGACAGAGGAACCTGGCAGGCTACAGTCCATGGGTTCACAAGAGTCGGACACGGAATTAGTGGCTAAACTCACCACCGAAATAATAGATGGGATGTGTAAATTAATGAGAGTACCACATTAATGAATGAGAAAACTATAGTATATACACACAAAAAGCATTTCCCCCTCATTCCTTCTGCCTCAGCAAAGAGGATTTTCTATTTATCTCTAGAAAGAGTATTTGAGAAATGCAGACATAGACAAAAAATAATTCACAAATTCTAAAAAAAAAATTTTTTACTTTAAAATTCATTTCAGAGAGTTCTTGCTCCAAATGATTAGATCACCCTGAGCTTACTCCTCAAAAAATAAGAGCAAAGTTGAGCAGTAAGTATTAAAAAGCCATGGGAACTGTTTTATAGGACAAGATCAAGAGACTTATTTGTGTATTCAGTAATTAAGTCAAAATTAAAGAGCTAAACATAAAAGCAAATATAGCTTTGAAATGCTGTATATAGAAAACTTTTTCAGTAGAGCAGAGAGGTACATAACAGAATAAAATAAAAAGAAACCTGGCCTAAGTATCAAAAAAGCTTTCCAACATTCTTAACTTTCCATTTTCAAATCTCAAAGAAAATGGTAAAATGATTATTGATTATTACTCATTATTTGGTAGACCTGAAACAAAATATTAGAAAATTGGAAGGTAAAATGAAATCCAATGTTTCTACATCTTCATCCTTTTCTCTTTGAAGTTATTTTAAAAGTACAGTCAACCCTCTGCACCCACAGCTGTGGAGTTTTGCATCCTCAGATTCAACCAGACATGCATCAGAAATATTCAGAAGGGAATTCCCTGGAGGTCCAGTGGGTAGGACTCTGCACTTTCACTGCTGAGAGTCCAGGTTCAGTCACTGGCTGGGGAACTAAGATCCCACATGTCACGTGGCATGGCCAAAAAAATTAAATGCCTTAAAAGAGAGAGCAACCGATAGAAAGAAAGAAAATATTTGGGAAAAACATTCCAGAAATTTCAAAAAGCCTAATTTGAATTTGTTACTGGAAGCTATTTATATAGGTTTACACCGCATTAGGGCTTTTTCCCAGGTGGCGCTAGTAAAGAATCTGCCTGCCAGTGCAGGTAGACATAAGAGACATGGGTTCAATATCTGGGTTGGGAAGGTCCCCTGGAGGAGGACATGGCAATCCACTCCAGTGTTCTTGCCTGGAGAATCCCATGGACAGAGGAGCCTGATGGGCTGCAGTCCATAGGGTTGAAAAGAGTTAGGCACGACTGAAGCAACTTAACATTCACACTGCATTGAGAGTTATATGTAATCTAGAGATTATTTGAACTATATAGGAGGATGTGATAGGGTTACCTGCAAGTCCTATGCCATAAGACTTGAGTATTGCATATTTTGATATGTGGTGGGAACTGGAACCAATTCCTTGTAGATACCAAGGGAAGACTGCATTTGAAGCATTTGGTAATATGTCAGCACCAAATGGGGCTTCCCTGGTGGCTCAGTGGTAAAGAATCTGCCTGCAATGCTGGAGACCTTGGTTCAATCGCTGGGTCTGGAAGATTCCCTGGAGGGGGGCATGGCAACCCACTCCAGTTCTCTTGCCTGGAGAATCCCATGGACCTGGTGGACTTCAGTCCATAGGGTCACACAGAGTCGAATATTACTGAAGCAACTAAGTAGCAGCAGCAATAGCAAAGGACGATTTAAGTGCCTGAAAAGTATTTAGAGTCTGTTACCATGTTTTTGAATGAGTAAAGGTATAATGTCAATTTCCGGGATAACTTTACCTATTAAACTCAACTAGCAGGCTTTCAGTACCAGCTAACAGCCATAACGTTAGATGCTGGGGATAAAGACAAGCACGATGCCTCCTTTCACAGAGATGATGATTCACTAGTGAAAATAGACTAGTACACAAAGAAGGACAAGATGGGATCTATTCTGGGCCTGGAGAAAAGCATAATTACTTGCTGTTGATTAATGCTCACTTAGTGGAAAACAAGCAACCTGAATAATGCAAAAAGCCACTCAGGAAGTGGCAAAAGGAAGTAATCAGGCTGATGAAGTTTTTTTTCCCCCTAATCAAGCTAGTTTATACTGTATATGACTGGATAATTTCTCTAATACAGTGTTTTGTAGGATTTTTCTGACTTGAGTAAATAAGGTTCTCCAAAAAAAAAGTTGTTAAGGGTACAACTGAAGTACTACATTATACATATTTGCAACATAATACCTCACAGCTTTAAAACAAGTATCATGCTTCACAATTTACTGAAATGCTTTCACATTCATTGTTTACAAGAATGCTATAGTGAAGATATTTGTACTGATGAACATAATAAATTTCAGAGTTAAACCAAGGTTCACATTTATACATTCATTCAACAAATCATTACTATGTGTCAGACTTGAAAGGTAGGCACTCTATAGGTAGGTATGCAGCGCTAAGCAGGACAGATTTGATTCCTGCCTTCTCAGACTTTGCAGTCAAGAAAGAGGAAAACTCTGAACACTCATCAGAAGCTCCATGGAGGGAATTCCCTGGCTTCCCAGTGGTTAGGACACCATGCTTTCAGTGCCCAGGGCCCAGGTTCAATCCCTGGTCAGGGAACCAAGATCCTATAAAATGTACCAGGTAGCCAAAAAAAAAAAAAAAAAGCCATGTGGAGACAGAGAATCCACTCCAGCCCAGGCCACCATTGTCTCTCTAGACCCATTTCTCACCACTCTCAATGTCTATCAGTGCCTGAAACAGCCCTCTCCCACCTCCAACCCAATGCATGCCATCACTTCACTTGGAAATTCACCACCACCCATTCCTTACTCTGGCAACAAGAACCTATTTCTCCTTCACATTAAATGTCACTTCTGCCAGGATTCTTCCCTGGCTTCCAGATTAATTTAGATGCCAAGGCACTGAGCACCAATAACATCCTCTCTTAGCGCTGACCATACTTCAGTGTAATTGCTTGCAGACTGTAAGCTCTGACAGGGGAAGGACCATATACATGTTGTTCACCACTGTATCCCCAATGCCTGGCAGAGCATCAGGCAGACAAGATTCTCTCAAAAGATGCTGGAGAGAGAAATTAATAAATCCTTATGTAAACACATAGAATGCATTTTCCTATAATACTCATGGGGCAGTAACACGTTTAAAGGCCAGTGTGTGTCATGTTTCCCTCATAGAGCATCTACCCATCTACACAGAGCGTTCACTATCCCTAAGCTTCACACACAAATATTAAAGGAGAAACAATAATATTCTTCACCCAAAGCTCCTAATTACACTGATTCCAGACCTCCAACTGTGCCCAAGATCATTCATGATTTTCTGAGGTCAGTGT